TCGTACTGGTATGAAAGGGTGTAAGTCGTGTCTTTCTAAAGCATGCTCGGATAAACGGGAACAGTTCATCCCATATAAGAGACGGAGGTCATACCGGAACAGTCCCACTTTCTGTTTTCGCAGATGGTTCAAAAAGTGGTTGGAAACATTTTATAGCAACACATTTTTTCATTGTTTAATTGGCTCTATGTATTAGCTTATAACTGCTCTAGCTTTTATAAAAAAAAAACTTAGGTGAAGAAACAGCGGATGATGAGTGAGAATCTGGTAAAAAATTGCCGAAACACGCACCATTTTCGTGCATAAAACAAACAGAAAGACATATGGCAAGATAGTTTGAAAACTTTTGTAAGTCTAGATCGTCTTGGAAAAAAAGTTCTCTCATTCTCCACTCGCGGAGAAAAGCTATTTTGAGAGAAAGAACTTGTATATTATTTAGCTCGCGTCACTCCAACAGTTGCAATGGACGAGTAGGCAAAGCACTGGTGTGCCAATCGAGAGATCCGAGTTCTAGTCATGGTGCAGCAGATTTTTTTTTTTAATTTTTTTCATCCACATATTTTTTCGTTTTTAAATTAGTTTTTCACATTTTTTTTTATTTTTAAAAAGGAAATATATATTTTTTGATTTAATTGAATCTTTAGAAATTATTTTATGTATTTTTTTCTTTTTAATTATTATTTTTTGTCTTATTTGAATTTTCTTTAATGGTTTGGTTTTAATTGTTTTAAAAAGAATATTTTTTTTTAATTTCATCAAATTTTTTGGAATTTAATTTATTTCTTTCTTTTTGAAATATTTTTTTTTTTAGGTTTCGGTATTTTTTTTAAGGTTAAGATTTAATTGTTTAAAAATATAAATTTTTATTAATTTAACTCACTTTTCAGAAGTATATTTTATTTATTTTTTTCCAATTTAATTTGTTACTCTTTAGTTTTTTTTTAATATTTACATTTTATGGTTTTAAAAAGAAAAATATGTTTTTATATTTCATTTAATTTCGAGGATCCTTTTAAATTATTTTGTTTTTTTTTTAAATAAAAATATTTTTAATATAATATAATTTTTTAGTACTATTTCCTTCTTTTTAGAGGATCATATTAAATTTTTTTAATGTTTTTTTTTTGTTTTTTTTGAAGTGAAAAAATATTTTTAATCTAATTTAATTTTTAAGTACTATTTCCTTCTTTTATGATCATTTTTTTTCAAATTTAATTTTTATTTACTAATTTTTATTGTTTTAAAAAGAAAGCATTTGTTTTTTTTTAATTAATTTGAATATATAAATACGTATCGCTAAGAGGCGAACAGCATAACGCTTACGACCTCCTCGTTAGCAGATTTTTGAATTAGTCTTTCGAAAGACATTAAAGAGCTTCTATCTCCAGTTTCCAGAATTGACAATTATCTTACGAAAGACTTTTGGTGAGTTAAAAAGACAGTTGCCAGAATCGCCCTGTTAGCCTCAATAATTAGCCAGTTAGCTACACTGCTGGGCTGCTGCTGTCTTTTTTTCGTCACGAACTTTTCTACTTTTTTTGTTTTTACCAAATAACGCCGAACGCTACGAACATTAGATACTTCACTGCACACTGCCCGTTTCAAGCAGCACTGGTTGCAATGGCACAGCAAACTTTGAATAAATATTTTTTTTTGTACATCAACAACTTTATCAGCGTATAGGTGTTTGGCTTTAATCTGTATTTGTGTGCCTGCAAGCACAGATAGTACATGAGCACACACACACATGCATAAGCACAAACCAACATATCCACACATTCATAAATATTGTTGTGGGCGTATTTGCGCTGTTTGGCTTTGTGCATCCTGTACATCCTCCGGAATGTATTGTGGTTTTGCACTTCCTTGCAAGTGTTGTAGTTGTAGTTGTAGTTGTTTTTATATATGGCCTTAGTTTCTGCTTTTGTTTTGGTTTTCTTGTTGCAATTCTTTTGTGTCGGCGCACATTTATCTTGTATTAAAACTATTTTGGCTACAAATTTTGCGCAGATTTTTGAAATTGCTACCAAATTTTCACGCCAGCAGCCCATTAGCGTGCGAGACGTACGCTACTCTTTCAACCATACAAATACATATATACTATATCAAACTATATCGCTGTCCGCTGTATACACGCTTGTAACTCCTCTTGTTTCGTTTGTTTTAGCCGTCGTCTTTCCTTACTGCTTGCTGCCCTTTCGTCCAGCGCTAAAGAGCCCAGAAATTTAACATTGCTTTCGAGCTGACACTCTGTTCATAGTTTTTTTCAACTCTTTTTCCTGTTGTTTTTTAATTGCTTTTTACTTATCGGTTTCCTTTCTTCTCTTGTTGCAGGATTTACGAGTCCGCTCCGTGGTCGGTGGAGGCCTGGGGACGTCCGTTGGAGAGCTTTGCTTTGGCAACGACAAGACTGGCTGGCGCTGGCAATAACTCATCTTTGAATGTAAGTGTTGCAATTTATGCCCTCACTTTGTTGTTTTAGTTTCGTTTGTTTTTTTATTCGCGTCCACCAAACGGGTCGCCTTCGGTTGGTGCCTATGCCTAAGTACAGATCTCTTAAGAGCGATAAATTCAAGCGAGAGGCATATGCTACGTATAAATACAGCGAAACGGATACAAAAGGCGACTGGCAGGAAGGAAATGCTCGCTTTGTTTTCGTTAATTAAATGGGGTTCAGTATTTTTGATAATTTTAAACAATACACTCCGATAACCGTACATACATAAGTACATAGGTATACATGGATAGTGTATGTTCATATATACGTTAGGGTGTCTCAACAAAAAAAGTTGTGCAGTTGTGTGTGTCACTGCAGCTAACGTTAATTGGAAGTTTTAAAATATAATACGCTCCATAATTCCGGTGGGAAATCTGTACCATTTTTTTATGTAGAGTGACGCAGCCCAATATACATATATACATACATACATAAATAAAATCCTTAAAATATACTTTTCCATAATTACAAATGAATGTATATGCAACCGACTCGGACGGCAGCTTAAAAGCATTATTAACCCTAGCACTCATAGGCAGATAAAAATCTGTGTTTCCAAAGAAACTTTTTGGTTTGTGAAAAATTTCTCTTTCAAAGAGAAGTTGAGTTAGAAAGTCTGAAACTCTGATCATTCTACATACATAAAATTAAAAGGGTTAAGAAGTCAAACACGAAGGCCTATCGCTTCAAAGAATCAAAGAGAAGTGCTTGCGGAAGATCTCTTAATTTTTTAATCGAAATTCATAAATAAACTCTTGATTCCTTCATAAGTTCTCAAGTATGAATATAGAGATCACAGAACAACCAAAATTTTTTACGGATAAAAGATCGAGTTGACTCACATAATTTTGCCACCTTACGATTTGGCGAATTTACCGAGCTAGGGGCATTTCTGCACGAGCCCATTCAAACCATTCGCGTATGGCAGAGAATTACTTACCGATCGTTTCGTGATGATCAGAGACAGCTTTTTTTAGATGTACAGTGCTTTTACGGTTTTCAGCTTGTATGTCAGAATTCCTGAAAAACCTGCGTTCGCGGTAACGAGCTAAATAAATTTGTGTCAAATACTCCCAAGAGCTTTTCTGGCTTCATTTGAGAGTGGAGTTCCAACAAATATTTTTCTATTTCGAACCTAACTTGACCCTTAAGTGATTAAGCCTTCTTAACTGGATAGTCATTAGCGCGGTTACGCGGCTTTCAGATGCCTCCAAACGGTGCTCTTTGTCACAGCAAGCCAAACTTGCAAATTTGACGTCAAAGCGGCTAGACATCAATGAATCACTAAAACAAAATCTTGGCCGTTTCATTCTGTGCTATTTTCTGTTAAAGTATAGCTAATCTTTTATCTCTCTCTAATTGTCTCTCCATTCGAATATCCTCTTTTTCAGGGTCAACAAACGACTGTTTTCTGTGTGCGTTGTGGCACCACCCGTGGCGTACTGGTCTACTGGCTGCGCTCGGAAACGCATCGCGACATGGCCGCGTGGGCACGCGCACCTCGTACAGGGTTCCCACAATGCCGTCAACTATCAGCGAGAGTTCTCATTTCGCTGTCCTCTATCAGGGCAGACAGTGTCAATTGGTTGTGCATTTGAATCGCGGGTTCTGCCTTTACGACTGCAGTGGCTATGCGGGGCGGCGGCGGCGGCTGTAGCGGCAGCGGGTGTGGTTGTGCCGCCTAATCAGACAAAAACTCAGCTATGGCAATTTCCGTTCGACAAATTAAAGGGCTCAGCGGACGATGGCATACGAATGCTGTATTTGGATTTTGGCGATGATGGAGAAATTGTGAGTATTACTTGATTATTTCAAAATATGTAGTTTCTTACAGCAAGCAGATAGAAAATCAAATCTCGTGTACGATAAAAAAACTATTTTTTTTTCTACATAAATGTTTAAAGTTTTTATGTACTGTATTACTACTTTAAATTTCCAATCTTCCTTCACATCTTTCACTTGTTTCCATTTGATTCTGCTTCGCTTAGCTCCAGGAATTTGAAGTTAATTAAATTTAATTAATTTTATTTCATTTATACTTGATTTCCTTTGAGTTAATTTTGCATTTCGCGCTACCGGTCATGGCAGCGCTTCCTTCCCATTTCTGCTCTTCAACTCAACAGCGCTTTCTTTTCTCATTCACGCGCCGTGTGCCATTCATTGCTCAACAAAGTGAAACGCATTAAATTTTCAATTAAAATTTCACACAACGCGCGCGCCCAGCGGCCCCAGATGTCAGGCAAACTGTAAGCAGCGCTGTCAGTTGTTATCACCAACTACAACAACGTGTCCATCTCAATACAGTCACTGTGGCGTTGCTGGCTAGGATGTTGTTGTAGGCTGCGTGTGAACGTTGTTGTTTTGGCACACATTCGCCCTATTGACAGCCTGCCTTACATGCTGACCTGCTGGCTGCGCCTGTCCCCTTAACTCGCACTAGTGGAGCCCGACCAATTGACCACCTTTTTGCTCGTCAGTGTCATAATCAATGAATGGCTTCTTTTCTTCAAGGCGCCAACGACTGCGTATTCTACCCAGCAAAGCAGCGGCAGCGTCTCTACGACCCACAGTGGCTTATTTCACCTTCCGCGCCTCCTCGACAGGCTCCCACCGCTACGCTGCCTTTGCTAACGTCGCAATTAATTTTAAGCTAGCATTTACTTCGTCTGCATTTATTTACCTTTGGAGACCTGTCTCTGCCGCTGCTAAGTAGGGTTGCCAACATTTTCTAAGAAATTTATAGTAATTTTTCACAAAAATCTAAAAAAATAATGTACACTTCAAATACATATAGTTTTTTTTCTAAGAAAAAGTAAAAATGCTTTTTAAGTAAATATATTTTTTCTTTCTTATGCATTTTCTCTATAAAAAAATTTTTATTTCTTTGAAAATATCATATGCTTTATCGCTGTCAATATTTAAATTAATATAAATCAAATCAAAAGTTTATTTTTTATTAGTGAGTTATTCGCTTTATTTCTCTCATCTCACCATTTGAAAATCTTACTAGAAAAAACTCTTTCTGTTAATGCCTAAGTTACAGGAATAGAGACCATAAGCGAAATAATTTTAAGTAAATTTGATAAATCTTTCTAAATACTTTTAATAATGGTGTCATTTTCTATCTGTGGACCCTTTGCTTTAAATTATATTTATTTTAATATTGATATTTCAGTATAAATGTCATCCGGTTTAAAACATTCATTTCTTACAAATGACTGAAATATATTTGTATTTATAATTGAAGAAATGTAGCATTTTTGCGTACTATATTTTTTTCCAACAGTATATATATCATAGTACGGTTGGCTACCCTCCAGCTAAGTGAAGGAGGTGGCAAGGTGTTGCTGGTGTTACGCGTTGAGGCGCGCTGCTGTCAGCTGTAATTAAACTACTCCCCACCAGGGATGGAAAAGTATGTACAATTGTACCTTTTTCCGACTTTTACGAACCAAAAGGTACATTCGGTACACTGAGCTCAATTTAGGTGCAATTAGACGATCGCCAAATAAATATCCATATTAAAGACTATGTTGCTCGCACAAAAAAAAAAAAATTGGAAAATTTTTGTAAACAAGGAACGTTGTGAACATGCCATTGCGGCAACAAGAAATCTTAGCAAAGTTGCCAAGTTCCTTCACTTAATTCTTTGTGAACAGTTTGTAGGGCTTTCTAGCAAAGTGGCTACACTGCATGTGTGTGAATAGAAATCGTGAATGAGTCTAGGGGTCTGAAAAAAAAAAATAAAAAATCTGCATAAAAACATTTAAAAGTATTTTTAACGGAATCGTAATAATGAGATTTTTGATGCTGTTTTCTTACTTTTACCAAAGATTAAATTACGTAAAACTTGAATAACTTTCTGTCAAAAAAAAAGTCATTCGTATCCGATAAATTTTTTTATTTTTTGTTTCAAATACCAACACATCTTAATTCAACTTTGAATGAGGTTCGTTCATCCTACCTTTCTCATTCAACCTTTTATCATTTACTCATTTTATTAGCAAAGAAAAGGGGACCATTTCTACGAAAACTTAATTTTTCGCCATATAAAATAACTGGAAAACTTTGAGTGATTTGAGCGACCCCTAAATATTTTTTCATTTCCAAATAAAAACTACTTTTCGGTAGAGGATGAGAGCATAAAAATTCAGACTTTCAATGTACTTACATACATACATATGTATCCTTCTCGAATTGTTATGAATATTAATTCAACTGTCCTGATATATTAATCAATCGTTTATTAGTGCAAATAATGTATAAATTTATTAAATTGTTACCAATTTTCTGAGAATAATAAAAAAGTTAACAAAATAGTGAGCTACTTTTTAGGTACATTTGCCATCAATAAAGGTACATTTCTATTGCCAAATTAGGTACAATTTAAAATTTTCGAATTCCATTCCTACTCCCCACTGACGCTTTTACTTTTCTAGGCCTTCATTTATTTCTGCTGAATCTGTCGTATTTCGTACCTATGTATGTACGCATATATTGGCGTTATTTCTTGAATTTGCATTCATTTTCTTGTATTTATTTAGCTTTTCGTGCTACTGGTTTAATTCGATAAGCCATTTATTTGTCAATGTCGTAACAGTGTTGACACAGTTTAAAGACTTTTGACGCGACTTTTTCTTTAGAAGGTGTAAAAGTTTGCGGTATCAGATGAAGGTCGAAACTTAAGTTAACTTAAAGTAGATATAAAATTGAAGCCAATGCATTATATGTATAGGGGGATTCAGCCACTCTAACTGAGGTATTTCCAAGCATCTCTCAGGAGTTTGTAATAGTAGAAGGCATGAAGGGCGGTGTTCTAACAAGTCTTGAACTCCGTCCATACCATCCTACTAGACCAATGTGAACAAATTTGCCGAATAATTGCCTACTGGTTGCCAACAACGTATCGTAGTCTTTGCTCCAAGTCTTTGCCTCCTCTATTCAGGTGGTTAAAAGNGAACAAATTTGCCGAATAATTGCCTACTGGTTGCCAACAACGTATCGTAGTCTTTGCTCCAAGTCTTTGCCTCCTCTATTCAGGTGGTTAAAAGAGCGGATTTTGCAAAGGAAGAGAGGAGGTTTCGTGCAGTTAAGAAGTTAGAACGCTCAGAGATATGTGCTGAAGTTTAAAGGTGCTGGGAAAAGGACAAAACTTCTTTAATTCTTACAACCTTATTTTTTTCATATATATGTATATTTTTCGAGATCAAACTTCGATGATCTCGAAAAATATATATATATATGAAAATCGATATCGCAGATAATTCGCTGTCCACCGTTTTATTTACTGTGGGAGGGAGAATGACTCAACGTCCTCCAGTAGCTGAAATGACAATGGGTCTCCGCCGTAGCCATAATCAGCTGATATCTGAAGTGCGAGTAAGAACGTGTTAAAAAAAAAACAAATATAAATAAAAATATTGTTCACAGCCAACCTTTGGCATGTGTCTAGAATATGCACCATTGAGCTATACGAAAAATGTGGATGTCGATGGAACTTCTCACGCTGATTATAACTGAACCAAAATTATTTGGCGCAAAAATATAACGAACATAAACAATTTTAAATTAATATTAATCTGCCTTATCCTGAGTTTCGCCTGAAAAAAAAAATCACCCGAAAATTTGTCGTCCGCCCATAGTAAAACCATGGAAACCGAGAGAGAAAAGTGAACCGGTTCGGGGAAAATGAAACTCATGATAAGGCTGAATATCTTATGAATTATATAACCGATTAAAAAACTAATGATGTCAAAATCAAGATAATTAATTTATCTTTCAGCTACATAATTTATATGCTTTTTTAAATTTTTAATCAAAAAATTTATTTATGAATTATTCATTTTTAAGCTAAAAAAATTGAACTATTAATTTAGTGGACAAAGACAGAAATTCTTCCGCGTCGGGCAACACCGACATTGTTGTCTACGTAAAATCAGCTGTTTATGGTTATGATGCCAATAATCGATGTTAGGTAATGTGGTTACAGTTATGGCAATGGATATGTCTATAGCGTTATGGTATGCCACCACTAAATTAACCTTTATATCGACGAACCCTAACCTACAAATACGATAATAGGGGTCTTCCCTTTTAACTCAGAAAAGCCTCGTAAACCTCGTAAAGCTCGTAAATTTACCAGCCCCGTAAAATACCTGTCAAAATTTGTATGGAGCTCTATTTACGAGCCCTTCGTAAAATTACGAAGCAAATTTGATGCGCAATATAAATATGTATTCATCTATTAGATCACTCGGATATTTAAAACTTGTTTTTTTTTTTGAAACCTTACAGTCGTCAGACCATTTCGAAAAGGAAAGATTAAATCGTTTTTTTGATCCCGCGATGCTATTTAACGAAAAGTTACCCTAATCCACCTAATATTAATAAGGAAACCAGATTTGTAGTACAGAAAATGATTTCAAATATATAGTTGCTGAAGCACGATAAAGGATGCTTTAATTTAAACAAAAAGAAAATAGTTTGACTCCTTTCAATTATGCTGAACTGAATATTTGCACTAATATTTTATATTAGGGGTATTCTCTGAGTCTTGCAAAGCCCTTGCACGGTGCACAGATTGCACGGACTGCACGGTAAAAACCGGTTTTCGTATGGGACAGCTTTGCAAACCGTGCAATCCGTGCACCTTGCAAGGGCTTTGCAAGACTCAGAGAATACCCCTATTTTGATTTGTTAAACCCGAACGACGTCGGGTGCTCTGCTAGTGTATACGTAAATGCTCTGAATGAAAAGAACAAGTCGATTAAGCAATGTCTGTGTGTCACTCC